TGTTGCATTGTAATGGAACTCTTCTAGTTACATATGCAAATGACAAATTTGAGGAATGTGTCATAGTTTACAAATAGTTATTACGGGGGTGGCGGTGGGGCGCCACCCCCGAATGGGGAACTTAGACCACCTAATGTCAGCCGTGAAGAAGTAATATTGACTGGCTTGGAAATTGAGTTAAAATTGCCATATATAAGACTGTTATTTGTCTGAAACATAAAGAAAAACATTGATAGGTGTATCAAACATGAAATGTGTTATATATGGTAATTTTAAATTCATTTCCAAGCCAGTCTATGTTACCCTGTCAGGGCTGACATTAGGTGGTCTAAGTTCCCCCATTCGGGGGTGGCACCCTCCATTTGCAAAATATGACACTTTCCTCAAATTTGTCATTTGCATATGTAACTAGAAGAGTTCTACTACAATGCATCAAAGCTTGGAGTTATTTTAGCAAAAAATAACAAAATTGGAGGGGGTTCTACGACAGGCTTTAAATAATAGCTCCCATTCATGGGTCACTTTTTTCATTTTTTAACCTATTAGATATGCATGATTTTTTTATCTTTCTATTGTGTTACGTAGCCTCTGTATTAGGCCTTTCATGCCCATTGACAAAATTTTTCTATGTCAAATAGTCTTTGAGTTTTGGGGGTTTTTGTTAAAAAAAAACTAAAGTCTAAGTTAACATAGGAGTCCAAGTTACCCCATTTTAAGGTAATATTTTAACCATATCTGTGAGACATTGGCTTGATTACTTTCCTCCATTTTTGCAGTGCACCAAAAATTCTGTGTTCTCGTTAAGCCTAATGCTCTTAACTTATTTGGACAATTGGCCCAGTCTTTTCACTTCTTCATTGTACTTATCTCCAGGTTAACTTTCTTAGGAAAATATCTGTCAATTTCTTTGCATCAATCCCAGAACAATTTATAATCATAGATTGTCAACTTTTTAACATAAAAGAGTATTTTCCCCATGTACCTTATGTCTTTTCTATTGTAGATGAATAATATGATCTAATGAAGTACCATCAAATGGGGTAATAAGGGACAGGCAGGGTAATAAGGGTCTGTCCTCCAACATTTTGTAGAAATGTTGTAGGTTGCAGCTAAACTAATAATAATATTGCAAAACTAAAAATAGTGGCATACAGTTCAATGTTTTTCCTATATATGTAGCATAAAGTTAGTTAAGAAATCACACATATACTACCTCTAAAAAAACCCTGAAAAAAAAGTGTGAAAAGTGAGATTTTGGAAAAGTACCTCTGCTAAGGTCTGTAGCAAAAAAATATATATTTGCCGTGTTTAAAAATTTTACATTTTTACTTGCATAAAAGTGTCACATATGTGTTGGCTTAAAAAGATGATTGACAGAATTTGCATATCTCATTCCAAAAATAAATGGCAGCCATTTCTGCATGACAGGGTAATAAGGGACACAGGGTAATAATAGATACCCTAGAACGCAATTACATAGAATCTTGGTTAGCAAAGGCTCCAGTTAACAAAAAAAAAGCAATTAACAACAAAGAATTTTGATTACATTTACCTTGCTCACTGAAATAAATTCCACATAACAAAAAATTGATGCATCATTGGTCATCATAAAATTTTGCATAGAATGTCATAGATAGAATTGTTGGTGTGTGGGCTACATGGAATGAAAAGTAATTAACCCAATCAATGATTTTTTACTCAAAAAAAATATGATGGTTGTCACTAAAATATTTCTTTCTGTTTCAGGTATATATGTTTTTTTTTACAATGTTTTTTTTTTGTTATAGTGTATTCACTTGATGCAATTCAAATGGTGCAAAATTACAAGTCATCTTGTAAGCTTAGCTACAGAAAAAATGATACATGGCTGCCGATCTGAAGCTTGCAGTGGACAAGGTTATTGTAAATGCACAATGGCATGTCCAATGATACGTTAATATCACCTTAACAATAGGGTAGTGTGTGGATAAAGTAATATCATATTAATAAAGGAAAAACAAGTAAAAAATCACTGAAAATGTCATTTCAGGAGGTTTTTATTTTCCAACTGACAACCTACAAATATCATATGGAATTTTTCAGAGATGCCATTTGATAGCCCTCGCAAATACCTTTAAAATGAGCCCAAACTTGTTTATGAAATATTTCATGGTAAGAAGTTATTAATGAATAATGCTCAAAACCGTCCCTTATTACCCCGTTTGACAGTATTTTTTGTGTTTTTAGTCCTCTCAGTGTGTTAAGTTGGGAAGAAATTTAAACATAATGGAAACTGGACTCAAATGAAAGCTTTCTATCAGTAAAGCTTGGAATTGTTGACATTTTTACTGGGCAGATGTCTCAAAATAGATGATTGAGTCAACCAGTCAAAATGATATAGTAGCTAGATATAGGTAATTTAACAAAATAATGGTTTTGTCTCTCACTGGAAGCATTTATTCTATATAAGTAAAAGTGCACATCACTATAAAATATGATTATGTAACATAGAATATGACAAAATTGACTATTCAAATATTATAATGTTTTAAAAGGTAGACATGCATGATTACAGTAATGCAGGATATTAGCGAGATAGGAATTAGGGAAAATTTATGTATTTTAAATAGGTCATTATTAGGGAGACTGTACAACATGACAGATCAGAACATATTCATCTTAATATAAGTAATAATGATAGAGGGAATTTATTACTAAAGCCAGCACTATAGTCATGAATGCTAGCATGATGGTTGTACTCAGGATAGAATAGAATAGAAGTGTTGGCATTGAAGAAATAGGCCCATGGCCTATTTCTTTTCGAGCAACAAGGACGCTGATCAAATGATAGCCTTAGCCGGAAAAGATTAGACAGTGTTATCTGAAATCTTGGGATTATTTCAAGTATTTTGATTACAAAGTAAAATGTCTCCACTGATTGAGGCTACATATTCTTCATTCAGTGTTGTTGGTATTGCAAAAAGTCTAGTGTTTTTTCTTTTACATAATCTATTCATCTGATTTTTTCAACTCCTGAAAATGAGTGAAACAAGATTTTTTGCTTTTTCCTCTACGTATATAACTTAATGTGGATTTTAATGAAAAAATTTTCATTTTACCACTGAATTGCACAAAATCATTACGTACCAGATAGCATTGCAAAACTTGAATTGTTACTTGAAATATTTTTTATCAAAATGGTGAGTTTTGTTCAGTTTAAAGCCAAAGAATGCAGCTAATTTGAAGCTGTTGAGGAAAATAATTTTAATAATTAAAAATTTGCAATCATGTATAAAATGTAAGAACTATTTCAACAATGTGAAGACTGTGGTAATGTGAAAATATCACCCTTAGTATATGGCATAGGGAGCTAATTCTAGGAAGTAAACTTAAAGGAGAAGATATAGAAGAAAGTACAAAAATCGTCTGAGTGAAGTATTCAATCTAAATCAAAAGAAGACGGCTTCAACACAAGGTTTAGATTAATAAATATGGTTACTATCAATCTATCAACACAGCTACTATCAACACAGCTACTATCAACACAGCTACTATCAACACAGCTACTATCAACACAGCTACTATCAACACAGCTACTATCAACACAGCTACTATAAAGAATGCAGTTACCAACAAAGAGCATATAAACATACAGACATAACTCAAGATAATATCTGCAGCAATGCAAAGCCATTACTGCACTTCATGTGAACTTGTAAATATTTTGATCCTTAGGAGTTTGCCCCTGCATTAGTATCAAACAAAGAAATGATACAGAAGAAAGATGACAAATATATAGCTTCTCTTTCTTTTGTTGCATATGCAGCTCGCCCATAAAATTAAGAACATGTTAGCACTCAAAACTCAAATGTAAAATCGAGCAAATGTTCCATTGAGATTATTATTTCATTCAGTATTGCTTGCCATTTTACATTGTGAATGTGGGTTAATACATAGAATGCATGCTAGAAGATTCTTCTAAGTTCTCTTAGTCCTTGAAATTGTTGAACAATTTTCCTTCAAAATGATCAAGAAGCCAACAAATAGGTCAAAAATTATTTTGTACAAGATTTAAAAATGTTACTTACATTAATCTTGGCATATATTGATTTTATTCTGTGAACTTATCCACAGCAAGTTGAGTAATTGGTTGAGTATTGATTGAACAATAATATATTGTGTGTCAGAGTTGTGTATAATTCTTATTTATATACATATGTCAGAGGTTAAGTTCAGTAAGGCTTAAAATGTTATGCAGCACCTACCATAAAACATAGCAAATTGGACCATTGACAAGACCTGTGACTTGGAAATCACTACTGAAATTGACAAAATTGTAGGATTTTTCAAGCTGACTTGAATTTTTGCAAGTCAATTCAAAAATGAAGCTTGGAAGCCACAGGTCTTTCCTAATTATCATGGTTCACCATTCATCTAATTACTTATTGGATTCAATAAAGTATTTATAAGTCTAAATTTGAGCAATACAGTCATGCAACATAAGTGTTGATGCTGCAAGAAGGGGCACAACAGTACTCTATGAGACAAAGTTTGTAGAGTCATGCAGCATATCAACTAATTTGTACGTCATGCAACATAACTAAGTGTTGATGCTGCAAGAAGGGGTTTGGCAGTTACAGTGCTACTCTACAAGACAAAGATATGTTATAGTTGGCTTGTCTCCTTTAAAGATAATCTGAGGCTTTGGGTGCATGCTTTGAGTTGTTTTGAAGGGAACTTTTGGCTCCACACCAACTGCTTTTATCATCAAAATGTGCAGGTTCATTCATCAGGTGCCTCTGTGACCCATGCATTGTACGCACCTAATTTAAATGTGCTAAGTAAAAAACTTTATTCTTTTAAGTGAAGATCAATCTCATTTCCTCGGAGTGCTGTGATTGTTTTTTGTTGGCTATGTGGAATATAAGCTTTAGGTAATTTATATTTCATTTTTCATTCAATTTAAAATATTTTTTCAGTACTTCGATGCCTAGAGTATTTATAAAAAATTTAACCATGAAAACTTCCTTTTCATTGATTGAAAAATTTTAAAAGTTGAACCTTCAACTAAGCAATAGAACAGAGTTGGACTACATACATAGAGCACCACTGACTCCATCTGCACCAACAGGTAAGAGGAAATAATCTGACTGCAATATTCGGACAAATGTCCCTTAGCAACGACATAACGACATGAACCATTTCCATTGCTATAAAAGTGTAAGTTGGATCACCCAAATCACCCTGTGAATTTAACGTGCAGACTTCATGACTTCATTTTCATGAAATTATGAAAAGTAAGAAAAATAAAATGCAAATGAAGTCATGAAAATGAAATTCATTCTCATGAATTGCATGACTTCAGTTAATTATTTTTTTATCAAGCTTAAAAAGCACAATCTATTTTTGCTGCAGTTAGATAGTATCTATTTTATCTATTATTATTACTTTTATTTAGTACTTTTCATACTAAATAGTATGAAATTTAGTATTGAAATACTTGATTGCTGACTGATTAAATCAAACCATTTGGATAAACAAGCAAGTCAGCTGATCAAAGCACAACTATATAGTGCATATTTATTGAACTTTGCACTCTGTGGAAGTGAAAATTATGTTACCTCTAAAATGAATTTTTTTTTCATTGTTCTCTGTAGCCCATCTGTCTTCTTGCAGGGAAGTGATGAACTGTCCAGTCGGTAAAATTAATGCCAATATGGGTGCTGATGATGACATCAGTCAACACTCAACAGGTAGTGACATGCATGGTGATAAATATTTTCCTGTTTATCAATGATTTAATGATGCCTAAGTTGGCTATGTGTACCCTTATCATTTGTATGCTTGTTATGAATCATTTAGTCTCAATAATACCTATACTAAACTTGAAATATTATTACATATGTATTTAGATTATCAAATGGAACCCGCTGAAGTCTATGAATGTGAATATAAATTAATTCTTGTACATGGATTTCAATTTGTCTAATGCAACTTCAGGAACTGTGAAGACTGAGCCTCTTTTTGAGCACAATTCAACAATACCTAAGCGAGAAAAACTTGAAGTATCAGAAGTTGAAGAAAGGGATCTTTTTTCTACAGACGATCTGAAGGTCAGGCTACATTTATTGTTTGTTGATCCATATACACTGTGAAGTAATATTTTCCATGTAAATTTGACTGAACAAAATGAGTTATTATTTACTCCAGTCACTACCTTATCTCTACACTGGCTGTTGTAAGCTGCACAGCTAAAAGTTGTGTTGTAAGTTGCACTCTCAACAATGTGCTACAGTTTATTAATTATCTCAAACAATAGTAAAGTTATGGAAAGGTAGGGTTTCAAAGGCCGGATCCCTTGTGGATCAAGTCACGAAAAGTTCAAGAATCGGCAACAGACCATGGGCCTATTTCTTCAGTGCCGACACTTCTATTCTATCAAGACCTTCAATTCTACATGCTAATCTCTATCCTATTTAAGGGGTATGACGCCTACAACAACATAGCAGTGGAGGAGGAACCTCCCAGGCAAGATGCACCTCTTGGTAAGTGTCGTCCTGAACGCCGCTACAAATGTCAATCAATATGTGAGTAGCTAGAAAAAATGATCTAATAAAGCTTAAAGTTGTAATAGTACAATGTTTATCTTCGTTTTGTATTAGATGTTATGTTCAATAAGTAGGAAAGTTCAAATATATGGTGTTTGAACTTTACTACTACTGAAAAGTTAAAATGTAATATTTGAACTATTATTGGAATCAAATAAATATGTTCAGAATAGATAATATGATATTTTGTCTGCTCTTTACTCAACAGTTCCAGATTTTCAGCAGCCAATGCCTCATGGTGGAGGTGAACATCAAGAAACTGGCCCGTCTCTCCTGAACAAAAATGCAGTGAGTTTAATTTTCGCAAACCCACTATTATCTAGTAGACTAGTACCTATATGCATGTCTTTCTTCCTTATTTGTGAATTTAGTTTCTTGGTTAGTTTATTTAGGCTGTAAACAATTCGGTTCACTTCAAATCGATAAAAAATTCAGCCTGAAAAAATTTTGATCATCGTACAACTCCTGGGCAGGAATCTAAAGGACCTGCCTTGCGTTCGAGACTCAGGCCTCGAGCAGTTGTGATGACAGCGGCAGGCAACTCAGGCGACAGAGGCACAACTACATCGAGTACCAGACGAACTCGAAGCCAACGAAACAGTGCCAGGCGAATCCAGACGCAGCGAGCAACAGGTGAATCATCCGACTCTTTCATGCATTTGAGGCTGAGGACTCGCAAGAGCAACAGTTCAACCGAACTGCTTGAAAATTCATTAAAAACACTTGAAAAGAAGCAATATGTGTGCGCTAAATGCAAGCATGCTTACTGTGGAAAAAAGCCACTGAAGAGACACGAGAGAGTTCAATATGTGTGCTCTAAATGCAAGAATACTTTCTGTGGAAAAATGGCACTGAATAGACACGAGAAAATTATTCATTTGAAACTAAAAACATATAAATGCTCGACATGTAACCGAGTTTATACACGTAAAGATCATTTGACAAGGCATGTATCGTTTGGCCAATGCCACTCATTTGAAGCCGCGGTCCAACTGAAGTCTTTCTCCAGAAAATAATTAGTTTGTAGAGAGCAATGGAACGCTAGGACCAGGTTTTCAATGGAGTGTTTGAGACGCATTCACCATTAAGACGTTAGCATAATAACAGTAAACCAAGCCATTGCCAGTAGCTTTCTTTATTGTCTTGATGTTAGCTCCCAACTTCGTCAGGTGTGTTTCGAAAATTGAATTCTTGATTTATGGGCTTTCCATACACAATCATTCTTATTGCCATCTTTAATTAAACCACAGCCCAATGCATATAATTTTTTTCAACTATTGCTCCATTCTCTGTGTGTGTCTCAGGATAAAGGATTGAATAGTTACCCACTCATATATGCAACTTTGTGTTCCACTAATTATTAATTTTAATAAGCGGAAAGAGGCAGATGTCTCGCATCACTTATCAACTGAGGCTGACATTCGCATAGCATAACCATGTGTACTGTCGAATTTCTAAGTTCAAACAGCATGGATTGTTTAATGTGAAATATAACATTTACATGAGATTTCAGTGAATATTTGGCTCAAAATAAAGTTGTGCTAAATTCGGCTGTGCTTGCCAGAGGAAATCGTGCACACTTGTTTGTTTTTGGAGCTATAGTTACCCAAGCTGTACAGCCTAGAATGTAAAGGATGTGACGATTATTTCTTTTCCCAATTATTTTTGAATTTTGTATTTCTACATTTAAGAGGATGAGGTTTTAAGTTTTTATTGTGTATTTGAAATTTGCGAATGGATTTATTTGGATATTCGAGAAAAACCTTGAATATTTTATTGTGCATTAGTATTATTTTTAATTATAAAATCAGATTTTTACACTAAAAGGGATTGCTCAAAGCACAATAGGTATATAGTAGCTAACCAGCCATGTGTAATGATCGCGTCAGACGTTTCGGCGACTCTTTATCAAAGGAAATTTTTAATGTGAATGGCCAACCCAATGATCAAACGCTACATCCCCATAAAAAGCTCATTTTTTTAATTCCTTAGCAATAGAAAGTTAATTTGCGTCTCATTACAGTCTCATTACACATACGACACACACAAAATATTAAAGGAACATTTACGTATCCTTTGTTTGCTGAATTATGAGGTCAAATTGCAGTGAAATGTGCCGGAGACTTTACCGTGCTGCAGGATCTGTACACAAGTTCATTAATGAGAGATACTCTTCATTTCGGAACAGTTTAAGTTTATTTTTAGGATATTATAATGTTGACTGTTAACCTATCCCCCAGCATAATATCTGATGGATGAAATGTAGCAATTATGTTATTTTTCTAGATAATTGTTGTTCAGGTCGCTCACCGCTGATTGGGAAACCTCTGCCCTATATCAGACGCTTAATATTTCAATAGCATTGTGGTGTAAATTTATTGAAAATACAGGGGTAATAAACAGTTAACTTTTGCAACATTTTTTGATTTTTTGCTTAACGTGAGGATAAATTGTGAAGGCTTATTCATGGATTTTCTCTTTGTTACATTCATTAAAGTTGTCCAAGTATTCATTTGCTGTCGTTGCTCCTATTGTCAATAAAAGTTTATTAATCGAACAGCTTGCTTAGAAATTCACAGTAGATTTACTCTTGCAGTCAACCAAATGGATCGATTTTGGATTAAAAACGGAATTGTTATTAAGATTATTTAGGATGAATATGTTGAGATCCGTAAATATCATACGCAAAGGTTTATTCAAGTGTGCTTGTTCAATGAAATTGTATCGGTAGAAAACGTGAAAATCGCGCTTAAATAATGCACGACGAACTAGCAATGATTTCAGAATTTGAAAATCTCGCGTTAGATTTCCTTCAAACTTGATATCTTTCAACGAAGTTAACGCAACGTCGCAATCTACATCTACCAGCAACAGTTACCTGCAATCCCATCTACCTGGGGCCATGCTTTCAAAAAAGTTAAGAGATCGTAAGTTCATCAGCCAATCATTGACGGCCTTTCAAGCAAAATCCACCAATCATAGCCAAGAAAATAGAACGTAAGTACTTACGTTCACTTAGCGAGTTTTGAAAGAATGGCTCCAAGTCAGAATCGGCGCGTTTTTTTTTTCAGAATCTGCGAGCACGAAAAAACTGGAGCAGTGAGTTGCGTGTTAGAGACCCGCAACAAGCTGTGAATGTTCTGCGATGTTTAGAATCAGCGACAGGTCTAACGGCCTTATCAACTCTCAAACCAATATTGCTAATACTAATGACATGACACTTTGTTATACTAAGAACCGAATTCAAGACCACATCGGCTGTGGTGGTGCAGTGGTGAGAGACTCTGTCTCTCGCACCCAGCTCCCGGGTTCGAGTCCCACTGAGGACAAGTTCTACCGGGAAGCTCAGCTCATGGTCAACTCAGCCATTCATCCAACTCTGGTTGATAAATGAGTACCTGGCTTGAAGAGAGGTTCTTTCTAGCTTCTTGATTCAAATGATCCAATCGTTAACCTTTTATCAGTTATCACTTTATGTTTCAATTGTATCAAGTAATATTACCGTTACTTTGTATGAAAATTCTTTGTTTCTTTCAAATTTAAGTACAACCACAGGTATGTCTGTCACCGGTCAAAGCTGACGAAATACTCCAGGATATATTTCCGTTGCAAGGTTTGTTCTCCTCAGTTTAGTGCCGCTCAAATCTTTATCCGCATGCGGATTGTTTAGAAATAATTTGTGAAAAATTCTAAACATTAATAGATTCATATTTTCTTCCGTGATTTCTCCAAAAAGTGTGACTGTGCTTCGTACCCAATGATTGAGATTTGGAAGTAAATCAAGCCATTACAATCAATATTTTTTTAATAGCTGACTTGTAATTAAACTAAAGCAAACTTGCTTCGTACCCGAGAATAGGGATACGTATATACCGTGGCTCCCGCCAGCGTGTTGCTGGCGCTCTGTGGATAGAATAATTGTGAGCAAACTGAGGGAAATTTACGACGGGAATTATATGGTGAAGTATAGTTCAACCATGGGGATAAGGACGTGGATCAAGCAGTTAGAAATGATACTTCTTATTTTAAATATATGACCTTAACATATGATTAAATTTTGAGGCAATCCTACTTCTTATCCGATGATTAATATTTATACGCGAATCATGCCGTTAGAGACAATGCTTTTTTTTAATAACTTACTACCGCAGGAAGGCTGGTGGTGGGTAGGAAGGCTGGTGGTAGTGATTAATAGAATAGAATAGAAGTGTCGGCGTTGAAGAAATAGGCCCATGGCCTGTTGCCGATTCTTGAACTTTTCGTGACTTGATTCACAAGGGATCCGGCCTTTGGAACCCGATCTTTCCATAGCTGACGATTGATTGAGATAGCTGCTGGACTTATTGCCTGGTCCGTAATTTGCTATGCATTTTAAGACTGAACATATGCTTCTGCATAGCTTCGTCTAGTCTGTTTTCGAAGATGTTCATACCCGGAGCGTCAACGATGCTATCAGGGAGGCTGTTCCACATGTAGGTGACTCGAAGCGAGAAGAAATGTTGTCGCATGGATGTGTTCCAACGCTGTTTTTTTAGTGTATAGCCATGGCCCCTGGTGTTGGTTCTTGTTTCAATTTCTGCTAACAGGCCGAACACAACCTAACGTCGGACCGAGTCTTCTTCATAGGTTCTCGGCCGCAAACCATGTAGCCATTTGGAGACAAGCTAGTCTAAATAAGTATACCCGAGTATACTACATATTAAAACGTTCGTGGTTTTCAAATTCTCCATAGAAAACACACAAAAAACACTGATTTAACGCATGACGCCTTAATTACTTATCGAATTTTACACTGTATTTAACAACGAAGAGTTCCTCGAAAAAATTCTTTACATTTAATTGCTTCTAATAACGGAGAAAAAACGTTGCCTTGAGCATGGGCAATTTAACATATCGCAATGTCATAGCAGTAATGTGACGTAAAGAGCCTGAATCCCTCTAAACGTCCTAGAGTCTAGATATGGCAAAGCCCCAAGTAGTAGTAGTAGTAGTAGTGTGGATATTACCCACGTAATATTAGAGATGATTTTAACGACGTAATATTAGAGAAAATATTGTCCATGTAATAGTAGAGAAGATATTACCATCTTATGTTATCATAAGTACTTAATAGTTGATGAATAGCTGAATTTATGTAAATTAGGTCTTGAATAATTTTTTCTCAAATCAGACTGTTTAGCAAGTGTGCTTGATGAGACAGAAATGAGGTGAGGCGATCAACGTGCATCGAGAGCTTGAGACTCTTTCCTTGGCTCACATACTCATTTCCGGACGTGTTACTGTGCTATTGCTTAATGCACTTATGATTACTTGATGTGTTACTGTGCTATTGCTTGATGCTCTTACAATTACTTGATGTGTTACTGTGCAATTGCTTAATGCACTTACAATTACATGACGTGTTACTGTGCTATTGCTTAATGCACTTACAATTACATGACGTGTTACTGTGCTAATGCTTAATGCACTTACAATTACATGACGTGTTACTGTGTAATTGATTAATGCATTTACAATTACTTGATTTTTTACTGTGCAATTGCTTGATGCTCTTACAATGACTTGATGTGTTACTGTGAAATCGCTTAATGCACTTACAGAGACTTGATGTGTTACTGCGAAATTGCATGATGCTCCTACAATGACTTGATGTGTTACTGTGCAATTGCGTAATGCACTTACAGTGACTTGATGTGTTACTCTTCAATTGCGTAATGCACTTATGATGACTTGAAGTGACATACATATAAGTAATAAAAGAAAGCTAGGGGGATGAGGGCAGCAGGCCGAGTTGCTCAAGCCAAATGTTTGCACAACTGGTATTATTATTTTTTTGTGTGCGCGTAGATGCTTTGTTTTTAATTGAGCATATTTTAGTGTCTTAGACCATTGTGTGAACGCCTCGGTGGTCGATTGTTTCAGCTCCATAAGAAAAGATGGAATTATTATTTGGCCCTGATCCATTTTTTATTACATGTGTATTTTTTGATAAATGATCGTGTATCGATTGGATGCCTGCATGGTATAAAGGTGTGACCGCAGGTCAACACGCCCCCAATTCCAATTCCATGATCATCTCTACTAAGTCGCTAGAATTTTCATCAACGCAATGGCTCGCACTTCAACTAGGGCGAAGGTTTGACCTTGATTCTGCATAGTCAAATAAAGTTCACAGGGTACGATAATGACACGGCATGTTTACAAAAATCAGGCTGAACTTGTACTCACTTATCGCTGCTGAGATTGCGAGCAGTCATGCGCGTAAGAGGTCAAGAGGTCAGTCCTCCCTTAAAAGAAAAAGACTCCAGGGCTGGCCAAGATCTCTTTTGCCGGTCATCGTACACGCTCTTTTCAAACTGAATAAAAGGCTTCTTACCTAATGAGGAGAGTCATGCCGGAGACTTGTATTAGGTTAAGCAAACGAAAGTATTTTCTTAAAAAAATGCATAAAAACAATCTCTAATGTAGTAATTAAGTGACTCTTCACTTTCACTTGTTTTTTAGGTAAACTTTTAGATCAATTAATCTAAATTTAGTTTAGGCGAATTTTGATATTATAACTTGTTTAGCTAAACGTAATTAGAATGTAAACGAGGAAATTTCATTACCTGAAAGAGTCCTACATATTCGTTAAAAATTGGTCCATAATACAAGATTAGGAAATTATTCATGGTTACGAACAATACAACTCTCGTACAATAATTTTCTTCTCCTTACTTGCAATTGTTAACTAAATTGTAGACATAATTTGCTTAATCAATACTCGTGTAAGAGAAGTTGTGCCGTCTGTCCTCTCAGAGTACAGGACGTGAGGTCAAGAGAGTTACGGAATTTGCATGCATTATGTTAATGCAGGTGTTGTTATACGTTCAACAAGAGGATTAAATATTTTTACGTATCGTAGGATGAAATAACAATTAAAATTATAAAATGTACACAAAGGAAATTTGCAAACGACGTCTGTCTATTCGAATATATTTAATACAGCTTTTAAATGTATCGCCGATATTACTTGGATATATACACAAACATAGTTTGAATTGAATAGAAAAATGCGATACGAATAATTGCTCATTATCATGCACATTTTCTGCTGGTGGATGTCAGGCAGTTTTGACGTGTTGGCGTGTACACTGAATGTGCTTCTGTGAAGCGCATTCGTCGCTCTCGCCCTCTTCTTCTTCGTCAGAGGATCGTACGTCATTCGAATGCCCATGCTTTAATTTATTGTAGATCATAACCACAATGCTGTGTGTCCAAGACATGTTCATCAGGAAAATTAAAACCATTAAAGAGCTGATGACGTGATATATGTGAAATCCTGGTCCAGTACTCGTGAAAGTCAGTGTAAATGCCGCCCTCATGATATGGAAAGGGTATATGCCCAGTCTTGTCACAAACCATACAAGGACAAATACAGCAAAACAAGCATCCCTTGTTCTCTTGAAGCCTATATATCCACTGATTTTGGCCATCTGTAAGGGGATGTCATTGCACTGGAGGACAAGAAGGTTGATGATGGCCAGTCGACTGATATTGCAAGCCCAAGAAAAAGATAGGATAGCAATGGCGCAGACATGATGCAAAAAGTTTTGCCTTGAGTCACTTCGCTTAGGCAGCAACGGATGTGTTAACAGTTCCGTCCAGTAGAACCCCAATGACAGCATATAACACCACCACATGCCGGGTGTGACGCTGTGGAAGGGGAAGTGGAGCGAACAAAGCTGTAAGTCATACAACCAAGGTTTGTCTATGAGCACAAGAAATTCAAGGGAACAACAGATCGTATAGAATGTAATCTGCCAAGCACACTCGATGAACTTAGAAATGGTTCTGTTGACTTTGCTGGAAGCTTCCTTCCTCAGCCATCGTTGAATTTGTCTCTCTGTCCAGCCAAGCTCCGTCGCTGTTTGGACCACAACCTTCCATGGCGGGTAACTCCCGTACTCTTCCGACACGCGTTCCAGCGTCGAGACTTCTGGGGTCAACTTATTCCGTTTCGGTTTAACAATAAAATAGCGAGCTAAAGGTGTGAACACAAATGGCGTTAGAATAAAGTATTTTATCAACAGAAGATATCCTGCGATTATGAACGGATATATCCCCAGGTCTTTCGGATCAGGAATATCTAAATCTACACGAGATTCCAAATCTTTCCATGTATACCCTTCAGGTACCCACATAGAGTCTGTCCAGAACCAATGTGTAATCGTTGTGGCGTTCATGATAATTTTAGTTCATATCATTTAGCTCTCATAACCTAAGTAATTTTTCTATGTAATCGTTCAAAGATCACACATACCAAAAAAAGGTTACGGGGGCTCTCGAACTTCTAAAAATTCGATCTGAAAAAGGTAATAGAATATGAATCAATAGATAGCTTGTTTTTTTTCTTGAAAAATATAAGACGTTAAGGGTTAATATTACAATATTTTATAACCTATTTATACAATAATAAATAACATATAACACGGTTTATTAACACGGTTTATTAATCGAAAATAGCTTCGAATATTTTTTATATAACACGGTTTATTAAATATCAATAGCTTCACATTATTTATTTATCTATATTGGACCTATAAATACTTTATTAATTATTAATCGAGTCTGTAAATCTATGATCAAAGTTACGAAATAACAGAAGGTGGTGATAAATGTCTTATAGTAATTAATTTTCCACGGACACACCCCACATACGTGTCCACATGCACGACCAGAAAAGAAGTGCTTGCACCACCGCTTGTGGAAAGTAAATGCCTCGACCTCGGTATCGCTTTGCATTATATAGGCGCCACAACAACGATGGCTACCCAGTCAACAATTATGGCGACGTCCAGGAATGGAGGGTGGCCGCACCTACACACTTGATCAACAATTAATGCTTGGATAAAAAGTGAGAGTATTTCTGCTACAGAATACGTGCATGCAATCATCCATGATCATGCATTTTGCTGACAGCTGATATGCTTCATGCTTTATTGAGGTTCCTAATAAATCTATAAACTCTTTGAAAAGTAGCGAACTGAAGGTTTTAAGCCTATGCTGCATCCTCTTTATTCTATCTTAAAATGAGCCCTAATTAACTGATGGGAAGAATTCTTTTCAGTGACAACAATTTTGTACAAATGTAACGTGAATAGAAATTCCACAGTTCCCCAGGCTCGAAAAATTGAACCCTAATTATGGACAGGAAATCGTAACGTGGATATGAGCTGATTCATTGTGAAAAGTCTTCGCATGGAAATATCGTTACCTATTAAAGATCTCTACCTATTATTTTCCCAAAAGAGGACTCTAGAGTAATTTGTTATTTTCTTTTCAAAATGTTATCTTTACTAAAAATAACTAACCGAAATTGCGCTCATATGAAAAATCCAACGCAAAACTTTTATTGACTGAAGAATTAATTTAAATTGCTAAACTCGATATAAGTGCACAAAATAATTATCTGATTATTTGGTACAATAAACCCATATAATCCATCAACTTCTGGATATTTTGACGGTTTAAATTGGTGAACATATCAAGAATTGATTTTCATTATTGACTCTAGCTGTTGTCAGAGACCAGCCTCATCAGCACAACATGTTATGGCGGAATAGAAAACTCAAAAGAACAAATGAGAGAACCAAATAAATCACGTAGATGCGATTTGATCATGAGTCGCGATAGCTAAACACGTTTGTAGCTTTGTGAGGTTTGGAGATTAGCTTAAGTATCGTCTAGATCGACTAGATGCGAGAAGACAATTAGACTTTCATGGGGGTTGACGAAAAGATGTACCGCCCAAGCAGGTAATGTAGCCATCACAGGACAGAGTTGAGGTCCAATTAATGACTCTCAAACTCTTCGGTTTTTACATAAATCCAATTGTACTTAAACGAGGTAAGTTATTTGTTCTTTATTCATGTATGTAGTATCTCGTAAATATTGATAAAGGTTCTTAGTTAAACTATCGCCAAACAGACACCGAAACAAAAAATTTAAAGGAGGAAAGCTGGCCTTAAAGAATAATTGCTGTATTACAAACTCTACTCTTATTCCCTGTATGTTCCTTCAATCTTCGTTATGTTCCCTCATTTCTATAAGTATTAAAAACCTCCTACTTGTCGCTTCTCCGTCCTTATATAACGAAGCGTTTTGTTCGTAATCTGACCTTGAAGTTACCATCGCTCGCCCCTCCGCTGCTACAAACGACAACTTGGCCCTCATAGGTCAGCGACCTGTGTTGTACAAGGGGCGTATACATCGTCATTCAAGTGTAGACTCCGCTTTGTAGGAAGTATTGATGGTTTAAAAAATATATATATATATATACGATGAGTAGCAAATGATCGCTACAAATTTGCATCTTTTGCACGTGTGAAACATACACGTTCACTAAACGACAGTATGGCAATAAATACATTATTTAATGAAAATTTTCTCTTATAAGCTTGGATCTCCTCTGTAGCAACGAAGAAATCATTCAGGTATGAGGAATTTGAATAATTTATCGTAAAAACAGTGTTCATTTTCACTAATGATTAACAGAACTTCATATCTCCCAGTGAACAATAATCGCGGTGGCCATTGAAGGCAAAGGACTCCAAGAATCCAGCCTTATTTACAACACTTCTTGTCTGTCTGTCTGTCTGTCTGTCTGTCTGTCTGTCTGTCTGTCTGCTGCAAATCTTGTAATCGAACTTTAACACACTTCTACTCATCCTATCGATCTGAAATTTTGCATACTTGTTTAAAGTTGGAGACAATGCATGAATCAAATGTCAAAATAAATGATTTTAAAAAGTAAAAATTTTTTTTTTTTCAATATTAAAAAATTGAAAAAAATAATTTTGTCAGCTACAAATCTTATAACTGATATTTGACACACTTTTACGTGTCTAATTGATCTGAAATTTTGCACACTTGTGTGAAATCAGAGGCAATGCATGAATCAATTAACAGAATAAATAATTTAAAAAAAATTATATATATTAAAAAATTGAAAAGTAAATTGTTTTAATTTTCGAAAATTAGATGAGAAATTCATTGTACATCTGTAAGATTGGAGATACTGGATTCTTTGGAAGTGTTGTCTTTAAAAAGTAATTTTTAAACGAATATTATTTTAACTGTGATTCCTGTTGGCCCGTGTAAAAGTGAGTACCTTGGAACTTGGAATGGATGAGATGGAGTAGACTGAAATGGATGGGATACAAGATGTACGGGACGGAAATGCATTTCAATGAAATGGATGAGTTGAAAATCGATCATAGTGGAATGGAAGAGATGGAAATTGATTAGATTGGAATAGATGAGATTGAAATGAATGATAATGGCATGGATTAAATTGAAATAGGAAGGTTTAAGTGTACTCATTTATACCATATCAGGCATTTGCATGACATGTTTTTGTGTCCATGTAATGCAGAACAAGCTCATGCAGCCACCGTTTTTTGTTTTCAGTTTCAACCCTTCCCCAGAGCCTACCTCCTGTGCGACTTAGTAAAAAAATTAAGAAAAAAAATATTAATAATTAATTAACATTACTATTAACGTTGTTATAAGTAAATAATATTGATTACTGCTAATAATTAGTGTTCATTGATGTTAAATTAAAATAGTTCTAATGAAGGAAATAACTGGTTATGATCTCCCTGAAGTGGTATACAGTTCACATTCAACAATTTGTGTTGAAATAATTTTTTTGTGGAAATTTGTACTTTTTCTCACTAGGGCCACGTTTGCGCTCGAACTTGTTTGCTAATTCTGAGAGTTATTTCAGATATTCACGGCCAATCTCGAGTAAAGCATCTCTGTTTGTTGCTTGTGGAGGTGTTGGTTTCTTTGCTTGTCCTTAATCAACATTGAAGTCGAGAATCACTGCTTACATAATTAGGGTCTTGATTCCACAATCGGAGATCCTAAGACTGCGAGCAAAATATTTGGGCGTGTGATGGCGAACTTTTTACAACTCCACCAATATTTAAAAAATTAGTTTGTTTCACTGGCGTCACACAGCTGCCGCAATGAGGGACATATATGGCCTTGATCATGCAACTCATCCTTCAACCATATTTCTGCGCTTGCACTGACCAGCGCCCGTGTTATTCGTTCCTAGAAAGGTAAAGTCATAGTAAATAGATCTACGAATGAACCTCTTTCTTTGGAAAAATTAATAGTCTTAAATTTTGGGGGAATCTAAAGGCGATAACGAGAGTTACCGTCAGTAGGTAGTCAGGAGAGCCTATACTGAACATAGGAACGTTCAGTAGGAATTACCATTATAAAAACCTTGGAATTGTGAAATGTGCTGGTAGAATGGTTCAAAATATCAAAAAGTCTTTTATTAAATGTGTCACCGAACCCATCTTATAGCCTCGTTTGCATAAAATATCATTTTAAATTTGTTTAGAGAACCGTTGAAATCTTATATTGTCCATAGCACTCCTCTATCAGGCTATATAAGAAATTCTGTCCCGTTTTAATTTAAGGAAGACTATGAAGATTAAGCTATTGGCTTCTCCTTAAGTGTTATTGTTCTAATTTATCAAACTGACGGAACGTTTCCCACTAAGGTTCGTATTATGAATTGAAAATAGAGAGATGGTTTGGGATTTGAGCTTTCTTATTTAAATTGAGTTGCGGAGTAATATTTATTTATACAATTAATTTCCCGGTGTAAAATTATACCCATTTTTCGGGAGCAAGTGTCTTACAACTGCAAATTTATTTTAAAAATATTTTAAAAATTTAGTATCAATTTTTATATAACAGTCACGGATTGGAATAGAAGAATCAAAGAGACTTTAAAAAGTAGAAACTTTGTAATTTAAGAACCGTTCATAATCATTTTCAGTGGGATCAGATTTCGCTAAAATTTTCGTACCCAATTTGCATGAGATTGTGACATCGCTCACAGTCTCCATGGCCAGCAACGTCTCGAGTTCTTTTGTGTCCATATGTTGCAGGCGACAGGTTTTCAAGGGCATCATGGCACTGTGTTGCAACAATCATGAGCAGTTGCATGTTGAGGCGAACAGTTATGCACCACTGCACACTCTGCACAGGGTGAACTCTTTGATGGTTTTAACAAATTATCGATGGTGATGGCTATTGATGACTTCCTTTAAAATCATGTGACTTCATTCCTTGTTTTCAGCACCGGGCAAAATTTATGTGGAAGAAGAATGGCCGACGCTCGACTATTGCAACTATTATTCTAGCTTAAAAAGATAATGAAGGTTATATGAATTAAGAACCTAGAAAGTAGTCACTGAACTTCATGGAATGCAAATTGTCGCCATATATTAGGAAACCCTTTGGAAAAACTCGTTTCATTTCTGCCTCGTGTACTGAATGATATACCGAGTCACCTTGAATGCGAAATTCGACCTGCCTTTTTCTCTTTCAGGTCGCAGACCCAATAGGATTCAGCGTTCACACTGCGCACAAAAACTCGGTATTCTGACAAAAAAACTTTCGTCTCTTCACTGATAAATTTATTCTTATGATAATATTGCTCTTCTCAGGCTACCAGGAGGCGAAGTAAACAGCATAAGATAACTTTAATTTAGCCTAACTCGTCAGCACGTAGATTCGCAATACTGAACTCGTAATGGAAAATAAGCGGTATGACTGGCGGTTCATAAGGAATATCGAGAGGATAAAGCCACTGAAATTTAGTTAGCCTTGAGAACATAGACTCATAGAAAGTGCACATGCGTGGGTTGTGAGTGAACTGCAATTGCTCTATTGTTACATAAGGTTAATGAATTCATATTTGCATAGATAAGAAATAATGAATTCAAAACTAAGCAAATAATTTTTAAAAGTTCCATCCGATTGGTTGAACATACAGATCGTTTAACGGTGAGATCTATATTATTTAAAAAGTCAGTCGCATTTGAGAGCGAGTTGCAAATCGGCATCTCGTCGCCATATTGCAGTGAAAGCTCCAAATTGACTCGAGTTATCATATACTGAATTCGCTGCTGAATATATAGGGCTTATGTAGCACCTGTGTGCCTGACTTAAGTTCTTTTTATTTCTTTATTGCCTCAGCCTGTTGGGTATGCACGAATATTCATTTTGGAATCACTCCTGTAAGTTTGGTAAGAATTTTCCTATTATATTTAGGGCAGTTGACGCTCAATTAATATTCTTTAAAATTTCATTATTAAATCAAGAATTATGATAATTAGCAGAACATAACTCCAATAACTCTTAGACCGAGAGTTATGATTCACAAAATCTGGCGACCATCTGGAAAATATACAATCATATGCAAATATTCAGCAGGATTAGTAATGCTACTTTGCTTTGTAAATGAGAATATTACGGTCTCGAGCGACTCTTGGGAGAGTTGTAGTGATGCTACTCTATATTCATGAAGTCCTAAGAACTTATTGTGACTTTGAATTGCGGGGAGTAATGCAACTTTATTTTTTATAAAATTATATTGAACGATTGCCTGTAATAACAACCGTCATTGTCTCGCCAGGATTGATAGCATTGCAAAAATATTAACATTTCAACACCTATTTTCTTCGACAGATGGAATTCGTACCTATTAGTAATCCTTATAATTGATCTGTCATTGATAGGGAAGGAGCATTAGGTAAGATTAGTTTAATAAATTCTTTCTGCGTTAAATAAATGAGAATAAAAATTGGACCACGATTCGGAAAGCTTGAAAATGGCTAAAATATTTAACTCTTGCCTTCCACGTACTTGTAACAGTTCATGTGAAGAGTAAACTAATTATCACAAAATTTTATTGAATAGATCTAGCCCTCTGGAACTCCAGCCTTCATTTATTTACACTGTAGCACTCTAGTCTAAATATATACAGGAAACTGGAGCTTCAAGTGTACGCTGAAGAAGCCTCATGTCTTTTACGACGTAGGTATTTAAGGGTTTAAGTTTTATATTATTATCTCTAACAATTATTCAGCATTTTATATATGAATATTGAATGCAGAAGCGTGCAAACAACAAAGAATTTGATATAACAGGCGACCTTATTGCATTGAGGAATATGATTCATGATGAATTTTTTCTGCAATTTAGACTTCTTTTTCGAGTAAATCAATGGCCAATTCTCATAAATTACATCCAAGGAAATCCTTCCAAGAGCACTAATTTCTTTTAAGAAATCAAAAGAACTGTACAATATTATTCGCAAATAGTGATAATTTTTCTATTCATCATCGTCTTCGTGCAAGACATCAGCTTCGTCATCTTCCAGCTCATCTTCTTGCACCACGTTGTCTTGGTCACCACGAGGCTCTACTTCGTCATCAGCGTAGTCTTCACTCTCTTCGACCGGCTTTGGGTCGACGACTTCTTCTTCAGTCGATGACGCCGCTTGTGGTTCTTCTTGCCTGTCCAAAACCTCGTCGTAGTCATTGTAATCGAAGTCTTTATCTCCGTCCAGTACATCCTTCACGGCGTACGCAGGAACACTCATCGACTCGCCGGTCTGCATGACATCTTCCTCGGCTGCACTCCGGGCCACTAGGTTATGTCTTACTCGGATGGGTACCGTGTTGCTGGGTTCCAATGAAGCCCTGCCCAGCAGTGGAGTCTGTCCCCGCCCAACCAACTTCAGAGCTGTGGATGAGACAACAAAAAGTTATAGCTGACGAATTAATGTATTTTTTACATTGAACCAATGCTAGGTATAAAATCACATGAAACAAATGTAGAGCCATTAATTTCAAGAATTTACAAATTTACTGAGCCAAAGAACATTTTCTCCGCTGATAAGAACAGTTATTGCACCATTTACAAAATTAGTTTACTTACTTCGATCAGATTTCATTGGGATCCATACATCAAGCGGTTCTCCGTTGATCCCAAACTGCAAGTTTTTCAGCAGAGATACATGGCTTTCAGCCATTTTGCTGTGCGAGGTTTTGAGGAGCATTTGGTGAGGAAGAGGTTGGGAGATCGCTTCTAATGATATGTCATTGTGGGTCTTGGGCTCCAAGTCTTCTCGGACGTTGTACACATGGGAGCTTGAAGCCGTAGGTTGTCGGTGGAAAAAAGAATTGTGTTGCCGCGTTGATTCGTCAAATGGTTTTGGCAATGATTTTGGCTCAGTAAACGACTTTGGACCAAAAGTATTCTTATATACAGTAAAATTTGGTTTGATGGTAGGAGGATAGGTTTGACTATTGTGATGTGAGTGGTAGTTAGAGTTCTTGTGTACGTGAGCTTGTATTTTTTGACTCGGGGCAGTTTGTGGATGATTTAGATTAAAATTAGTATGTGTTTTGAAGGGGCTGTGTCGTGCGTTCCGTCCAGGAACTGATAGGCTAGATGGAAGCTGCAAACGAGCGGGAGGAGACGTTGTTGGTAGCCTTGAATTCAATGTAAGTTCATGTCGTTGTTGAGGGTATCGTGGCTGATGATTTTGCGGAAGTATCACACTATAATTTGGGGACAAAGGTGCTCCTGAAGGCCGCATGGTATTCTGTGTGAATTTTATTTTTTCTCTCAACTTATGACCTCCTGCATTAAGCTGACTGGTCCTAATAAATGGGGACCGATGAGGAGGAGGAATGATGACGTTACTGTCTCTTGATTCTTGATGATCAAAATTATCTGGTATTCTGTTTATTTTATTTCGGTTGTTGGCAATTGGTCGAGGCTTTAAATTGGACCTTGATTTTGTTCTTTTGGGAGGAGGCATCATGAAACCATTGAGTCGAATATTGCCTTGATTTCTAGGTCGCGGTATTCTGAAATTATCTTGAGTATTTGGACCTCGTGGAAGCCGACCAACACTTGCACGAGGATTCCGAGGAAGAGGTCTGAGACGAGCCGGCCTCGCATTGGAAGGTTTCACATGTATAATACTGTTCGTAATATCTTGATGTCTGTTTCCATTGAAAGGATCTCTGTGGAATACGTTAGAATATTTGTGAAAATTTGTGGGATGATTGAAGGTTATAGTATCGTCTTTTCCGTCTTCCACGAGAACAGCTTTGAAGTGGGTGCGTGTGTTCGGTATTTGTTTCGAGTTGCCGGCCTGTGAACGAAGTACCATGTTTGGCTCTGGGAACGAAGCTGTTTGGACTTTTTTCTGATGCGTGATGAATGCAGGTTCAACGGGGCTATGAGATACTTGATGATGAAGGTCTTCTCTTCCTCCTACTGGATATTGACGGTGTTTAGTCTGTTGGAATGATTCTGCTGAAAGGGTTGCTGTTCGTAACGGGGTGGCTTTGGGGAGACTGGGTTCTTGTATAAAATTCTCCGTCTTTGTGAGACTCAAAGAATTTGGATGACTATTAATACTAGTTTGGTCACTGTGAGAATACTGCTGGATGAAAGGATTTCCGATATCGTTATTATACTGTGGACTGTAGTCAAAAGGTAAATCTGAAACTCTAGTGTTCTTGGGACTTTGAGATTTTACCCGAGGCACAGTTGCAGGAGGAGCAAAGGTCGTCGTCGTCTTGGCAAGAGAAGCAGGGGTTCGGAAAAACAAATCATGATCGTGAATTTTGTAATCAGCCCCAAGTTTATTGTGGGTCAGATCAGCAAGAGCTATAGCACTCTTGCTGGACCTTATAGAATTTGGATGATCATTCAGGGAAAGTGGGTTAAAAGGTTCTGAATTTTTTTCTGGTAGCAACAAGTGTCCTACGTCTCCCATGTACGAGTTTTGGAATGATACAGCAGTCGGAAAAGATTTATCACTTTGTGATGTCTGAGCATTGAATGTACTTTCGGTCACTCCGTGCATTTTCAGGAAATGATCGAAGGTTGAAAATATTGCGGGTCGATGGCTACTGGAAGCGTGGAAATCAATGCTGGGTGTGGGTGACTTTAACTTTTCTCCATTGACGCCCGATGATTCCCCTGAAAACGTGGATTCAATTTAACATTATAGCTGTAAAATAGGTTCAATTTCCGGCGAACTTTGTTCGCTGGAACTAGATTTCCATTTATCTAGCCTGATTAATATCACTATGTAGCAGCTGCCTTTGGCTCAACTTGGCAACCTCAAAAAGTGAATGAAATAATCTAGAGGAGATATAGTTCTCTATTATCCATTTTACTGACATCAGAACCTAAAAAAACTCATTATTTCCCTCGATTATTGCCCTCAATAACAATTCAGACACGGCTAAGATACAGAACTGCACACATGCAACGGGCTCTATTTTAAGTTTTCCTGTAATTAAAATCTCGTATTCAATTGAGAAACGAGAATGATAGATATTTCGATCTTTCTGAACCACAAATGTAGCCAATAATCATAATAATTCGATCTTACTGAATAATGATAAAAAATATCACAAAAGTTTCTGCTAAGAGCTCTCTGTATCGTGCTTATCTAACATGTCATGCGAAAAGTTAATCGATAAATTCCTATAGTGTCGCACACCGACCGCTTTGCTCCACGGCAGGTCTTCGTTTGTGCCAGCCTGTGGCAGCGCTGGCGCTGCTTACGTCGTTCCTGTAGAGACTTTCTGAGGCTCGAATATTTCCTCGCGAATGTCCTGAATCTGCAGGCGGAGGAGTTGTGCTTCTGGTGAACAGACTTGTTGTTACTTCCCTGAACGGCTGCAGTTGCACTTTTTCTGGAAGAAAAGGTCCATTAGACGATATTATTATCTGTTAAGTGATTTATCAATTTAAAGGAAACTTTAGCACATTCAAATGTGCATGAAAATATTAATATGCTTGCCTTTGGATCCATTTTCGTTCTGCTTGATTATGTCCCTCGTTGACTCCAGGATGTGAGTCTTCACTGCTCCATAATTCGGACCGCAATCAGAATCTTTGTCGATCGTGCCACACTCGTTTCTATCGTAATCTTCTTGATTTAGTATGATTTCATGAGGGCTGAGTTTCATAATGAAGTTAGATACCGTTTTTGGATACCGAAGCGGCTGGCGCGTGTCTCCAGAGGCTGGAAAACTTGGCCCGACTGATAAAGCGGTATTGCGTAAGCGTGACGCAGGATGTATGTTTGTTTTTGAAGTTGAGGTAGAAACTTTGCTAACTGTGGGTTGAGGAATGGTTGGGTGATTTGTTACAGTGAGACTGTTCACGTTTTGATTACTTGAAACTTTAGTCGGAATTGCTACAGTTACTATAGGAACTTCCGGCGCTATCACTTGATTCCGCTGGGAAGAAGTTTGCGGTCTTCTCGTGATTCGCCCCTCGCGAATTTTCGATTGGAATTCTGAAAAAATGTCTTCGAATTTCACTGGACCTGATGCAGGGACAAATTCATCGACTGGACCTTTAAGTTTCATTGTCAAGGAATCTATTGGAGATGCCTTAATAATTTCCACCGGTTCAGTGTTGAATTCCAGTGTCGATAAAGTTGTGCTGATACTGATTGGTATTTGAGTTGCTTCAAGAAAATTACTTGGTGTTGTTGAGCTGGTAGTCATCCTTGATCTGAGTCTCAATCCTCTAGAATGCGTCGTGGAGCTTGGGGACCGTTCTTTACCTCTGTGTTTAGCGTAAAATGTCCCGTTTCCTCTACGCTGGCTATCTGATCGCAACCGCTGGTAAGGCTGTAATTTTTCTTGCTGCTCACCAGCCTGCTCATCTTCTTTGGCGGAGGTAGTGGATGAACCTCTCCCTCGCGACCGCATTGCAGCAGCAGGCTTTGTTGGCGCGGATGCATCCACAGCTCCGTCGTTGGATTGCCCAGCCTGTTTCTGCTGGCGTTGACGCAAACGTTCCCTCATTCGTTGACGGAATGCTTGAGAACTTACCCGTCTCTTGTGAGGCCCAGAATCGTCGTTATTTATGACTGAATCTGATCTTTCCAGAGAAGGAGGCCACGAATTTCTTTCAATATCAACTTGAGTTTGGTCTTCCGATGCCTGATGATCGGAATCACTCAACATTTCGATGTCGTCTTCATGTATCTGGGGTTTGAAATTAACAGGAGGAGCGACGATGGAAGTCAATGGACCTTCGTCATATGTCAGTTGGGAGAGTGAGTCTAAACCGTTGGACTCTCTGCTCTTATACCGAGTCGAGTATGGTCTTGACTTCAAACTTTTGCTGAAATTTTCAAATTTAATGAACTCGATAGGCAGCTCCGGCTTGGCGCTCGGCTGGACATCAGCGATGACTTTTTGTCCAAAGTCTGTCGATGCGCCCGACAGCGACCAACTCACCACCATCATCACCAACGCACACGCCTGCAACGTGAGAAATATTTTTAGTAAAATAAAGCATACAAGGCAGCTTGAGTTGAAATTGCATTAATATTGTGACCAAAAAAATTTTATTCTTGGCCGGAAAAAATTAAGCAGTACACTATTATCTTCAGTGATCTGGATCAGTAAATTTTAGAAAAGATAAATATCAATAATATAAATAAAAATGAATTTCTTTATTTGCCGATGATCATGAGCGTTTCATCAGCCGTCACATTTTCATTTCGAGTCCACGAGTCACGTTCTGTAATTAAAATAAATGAAATGCGGTTTAATAAAAGCAACCACTGTTAGTACACATTATCACTGAAGGAACGCACTATTTTTCAGCACGCCTCAGACAAACGAGCGGCAGAATTGAGTACTCGGTGGATGTACAGGAAATGCTTCACTCTCGCTTCGTGCTCGGAGTGGAACGCGTCAAAAAGAGAGCTTTGAGTGCCGGTGCATTGCAACCTCTCACTCGCCACGCCCGCTCCTACATGGATATCTTGCTTACCTTCTGTCGTTAAAATAAACGTGTCGTTTCTACAATAACCGTCTGCACCCGAACATTCCTAAACCTGGACGTGCCTCGAACATTGCTCGAAACATGCTTAATGGTCGACAGTAAAAGCGAGTCACGTGCATGTTGCATCTCTTGATAAGAGAACTTTCAAGTAGTGCTGAAAAGTGACCAGATGATGCCATACTTTTGCGCTGTTTGACAACGAACTTTGTTCCTAGTGCGGCAACTGTACTAAACGCCCTGCTAGTCGCCTTATAGTTGGTGTACAACTAAACACCCTCATATCCCAACTGATATGTTGACTACTGACATGAATAGCCACGGTTAATAATAAATGTTGACGTACAAATGATAGAATATGCAAAGAACAAATATCCCTTCTAATTTTATTAATCTATTCAATAGTGAACATAAATTTTACGCATTCATAAAACTTTCCATGCCTTCACATGCGATTTATATTGCTTGCATTGAATTACGAAAAGTAAAAGAAACTAGTAACTACAAAAAAAATCAAAATTTATTTAATTTTTGCCGCAGCGTTGGTCGAGAAACTGTCAACGGCTGCGTCACGCACGAGCTATGAAATTTTGCTACACGATGCACTGCAGTTCGTCGCTTTCTCTCTCTACACGCATTTGTTTCTGTGTTGAAATCCAAGCGTATGAAGCTTTAGCTCATTAGTAGGACTTTTGTTTAGGTGCAATGATCCTATTATAAACTTATTATGAAGGATCCAGTTTTTCGAGACAAGTGTAGAGGAAAATTAGTTGCTCAAACATGCATACCTCGCAATGAAATAATCTTAAAATTGAAAACTTGAATCTGAATAATCAAGCAACGCATTTTTGAATTAGCACACGTGTTATTTTTTTCAGCAGTCATAAAAATAGGGATTGATCTATTTAGCGCCTAGGGTTAAGGCACAGGCCATATAGCTTTTCTACGCCTATATTAAGCGCCCCGCTCAATGCCCTCGATAAACTCTATTGTGTTCGAAGGCCGTAAACACTCATAATCAGCACTGATTGCCGGAAGAAAATAATCTAATAGTTTCCCTAGTGTTTGTCGTCTGAATGTAGACACTGAAACAGGTCACGGTGGTTCATTTTTTCCAACGTAAATATTTTTAGAAAATTTGTTCATAATATGTAGCACAAACTGGCTTCTTGGTGGGAGGTGGACAGAGCATTGATTCAAAGCTTCGTTGGAATTTATTTTCTATGTGCGAAATTTTTAACCTTGTAATTGTTTATTTGTTTTTAATTAAGTAGATTTTTAACCTAGTGGCTACTACTTTTACTGAAATAGATTTTTCGGTTTTCTTTCGGCCTTGAACAAGAATTTACAAACATAGTTAACATTTATCTATGGGTAAGAATAAATAAATACTTTTCATACGTACACTGGAGGTGAAAATATAATAATCGCATCTATTCGTTTGTATTTTTCGTCTTAACACAAGAACGCGGCAGTTTTAGTGTGGTCTGTAGCTTGATTTAACTTGGGATGTAACTTTTCTTGTGCAGCGCAGCATTGCAGAGTTAGAGAGCGATGCACCAACATCCGCAAAAATGAGGAACGCAAGTTAAATCAGAGCCAGGCTGGGTTTTGGGGTCAATCGTTCTCTTCGGTGAATTTTTGGAGCGCTAGTATTCCTGAATGCTAGTGTTGTACCTCCGAAAAGCCTGGCAGACAAGCAAAACATCTCGGAGGAGAGGCATTTTTTTCAAGATGTCTTACTAGATTTAGATCAGTTCTGGGTCAGTGGAGCGATAGATTTAATGTACATTGAACCCGTAAGAAAAGGGAACGCCGTGATTTGATCAACGATACACTAGAGAAAACTAAGGGATTGTCGATGCACATTGTTAAAAACTAAAGGATTGTCTAAAGTATTGTTTTAGAAATACTCATAAATTTTAAAGCACTTTTGAGCACAAATATTTTCAATTATACCGATAAGTGACACAACAACTTGCCCTAATGTATTTAAGTCCTCAACATTTGAATCAAGTAGATAAATTTAATTGAATGCTGACGGCCCGTTGATAAACGATTTCTAAATATAGATTGAAGAGTTCTAAGAAATAAATAGGTTCCTACAGTCCTGCCACGAGCTTTGCTGATCATTTGGATACTAATGCAATTCGATTTTTCGATCGCATTTTCTTACTTCTGTGAGGCAGGAATTCCTACTAAAATTGTAAAAGATTATTTTGCTTCTAATACCTATATATACGTTGCATAAAATTAATTTAAAAGTTCTCGACCTTTAAATTATTTCATCACGGACTATTCAAAAAGAGCCTCAAAAAAAATCAGAAACTTTAAAATCCCAGATTTGACCTCATTGTGCGAATAAGAAAGTGAAATGCTTTCCACAAATGTATTCTATGGAGACTGAACGAGCTTTACTTCAAATTGGCGGTAACAGAGAAGAAAGTTTTGGAAGACATGCTCGCACTTACATCGACTTTCTCCCGCGAGTTCGATAAAGAACGTATCTACGAGTGCAGAACTAGCGAGCAGATCGTTGCGGCGAATCGTGAGGAAGGCCGAGTCGCGGTCATCGAGATATGGTCACTGTTCGCTGCTCACTTCAACCATATCATGCCGGAGGACCAAGATTCATTTATAAATATGGTACTGGTTTTGTACTACTAATCAATCTATATTAGTTTTAAACCGTACATTTGATTTCAGAGTTAATCTTGCATGAATTCACAGTTTTAGAAGGGCGATTTTTGAATTACAATAAAGTTGACTATACTTCAATACGGAATTATCGAACTTAGCGCACTGATGCAAGGGACACATAAGTGCGCATATGAATGTCATAGTTCCGGCCTGACAGGATAAGAGTCTTGCCTCATACAGATTAAATATAGTGTCTAAACCATTTCTTAACATCCCAGGCTATAATTTAACCTCTATTTTCCCATAGATAATTTACATTTTTTCGGTTTGTAGTTGTCTGACAATGATAATCTATAAAGCCATTATAAAAATTTACTGAATTCATATCACTATAACCTCTCTGTTAACAAATGGCGCATTTGGTTATACTTCTTGGCCACATATATTGCACTCCTCTAGTTTTCATTGTTGTGTTCATGATGCAAAACGCCGGGTGCAGCGTGACAGTCATTGCTGTTTGTCACGCAGCCACGCCATCAGGAATCCACTGTCTCTGAGTATAAACATCAGTAAAAGCATCTTGACAGACATCACTACAGCATCATTTCAAACATCACTACAAGCATCGCGACAAGTACACACTGAATATCTCTGATGACGAGCTGCGATGAGTACACTTTTTCTGCGCCCGGCCAAGCAAGACATTTTTTTTAAAAAAGGCCTCCCACACTCACCATTCCAAGCAGACATTGTCGGCCTGTTGATATTGCGCACGGTATCACTAACTGGAGTTCATCTCTTCAAAGAAAACAAACTACGTTAACTTGAATATTTTTGTCATTTATATTGATATGTTATTTATAATTGAACATGGTTCAATTTTTATTTAACTGAAAATGGTTAAATTAAATGAAAATACACACACACTCGGAGAAAAATCATAAAAATATATAGAGTGGGTGTCAATGGCAAATATTCGCAATCATGACATTCATTCTACATTGTTCTAAGTTCAATTATAATTATCATCATGCAACTTAATCATTGAAGTTATGAAGGTAAGATTAGTTTTAATAGGTCCAAAAAATGAAAAACGACGTGCGGAGATTTTATACGAACAAATATTGCCAATGTTATTGAATTTTTCCATTTCACGCCGCGGTAGCCAATCAGTGTACACCGCAGAAATTGCTGACATAAATTCGGATAGCAGATTTAGGGGAATTGCCAATCCTCATTTTCTAAATCATTTCCACTTCCGGTTGCTGGTTCAAGTTTTCGGTGTCTCTGAAAAAAGTTCTGATGAAGCTGAGAATTGAATGTCGCCTGCACAGCAGAGAAGCAGCTACAATATAAGAATACGTCTGTGCGGTCACCATTGAGCGCTTCTCGATCGAGCGCCATCTGAGTCAAACTTCCAAGTCAAAATTATCAAGATTAGTGTCAGTTCAAAATTAGATTGTCTATTAAATTGAATTTCAATAATTCAATACCAATTTGTTAACATTTTTGGATTTTATAACTATTCTGTAGTCCTTTATTCAGCAAATATCCAGAGTTGGCAGATAACCTGATGGGTCAAGACGTTGAACTCAAGCATGTGTTCATTATCAAGCTTTAGATGATTACCTGTAGAAGTTTCATGTATGTGTTCTCGCAAAGTGTTATTGTCGGATGCACTTCCGTAACTAAGGAATCGTTGTTCACTAAAATAACAAACAACAGTCAGACACTATTTATTATAAAATTTTACTCGTAGAAAGCAATAAAGTAATGAAAATTTTTGTACATTAGTTCATCGTCTTGAAAGTTACATTGAAAACATTGAAAAATA